GAGCAGAGATGAGAACGCTTTGGACCGATAGATGAACAGACAGAAATAAGGGCTGGGCACAGAGTAAATTAGCAGTGAGACTGCATCAGGTCACCTCTGTGTTTGATGAGTTGGTTTCATAAAGTAGAACAATGAGATGAAAGATGGGGGGTGTCACAAGAAAAAAGGGGGAGCAGAGTGATTGACCTCATCACCATGAGGTTTTATAAAAATGCGCTAAAACACTTTGAAGTGTGTGAAAGAAAATTGTGTGACACTGCTACACAAAACAATTCAGATGATTATTGTACGCTGCATCACCGATATGCAGCACTGCAAATGTTCAATATGTCACTTCATTTTCTCTGCGGTGCACTCATCCACTGTTGGCATTATCAGTTAGACAGGCCTGCACAAGGCCTCTGCCTCACGTCTCTGTCACACACATAAACAAGCATACTGTGCTCACACAGAAGCACAAATCATCTTTGTAGTTTTGCATATCAAACTGTTGAATATTAATGTAGACTGATTGATGCAGTCTATCATAAATAGCTCTGGAACCACTGGAATTCCTCCAAAAAAATGAATCATCACAAGTGTCACCATTTTGAGCTGCTGAGACAAGCAAATAGTTAACAGTTGTAGTTTTATAGTACACTGTCAGTTCGTTTCAGTAAAATCCTGTCAACATCAAGTCTCACCAAATAATTGTTTGAGCTTTGGATGTGATAGTTTAAAGAACTGAATGAAATATATTTGGCTGTTTAAAATTAGATATTGTATGAATTTATTTTAAATTATCTATGAATACGGTTCAAAGGATTTTTTTTAAGGTTAACTAATTATTAATGAATTAGATTTCAATTACACACAGTGTAAGATATGGCAGGTAATATCTGTAATTGTTCGATTATAATTGTTTCTTTGAAAACATAAACCATTTAGGTAATATTGAAAATGAACAGACAGTTGTGCTTTTTTGGCCTCCTATCATGTATAAGCATTGCTGTTAGTATAGGCGGTCCTCTGTCATAGAAATGGTATGCTTTGTCTTCCTCTTGTTTCTCCTCCTCAGCTCTCTTCAGCGATCATCAGCCTTGCAACAGTCAGTTGACAACAAAGCTTGTGTGTTTGCAGGTTTGTGCTATAAGCTGTGTTCACAATCTGTTCACCTGGTATTTTGCAGCACACTAACATCACAGAGTGTAAATATGATTATAGGTTGATTTGGAAAATTATTCAATTTAGTTTTCCATAACTTTATACATATTTTAATATCTATTATTTGCCTTTACTCCTTTACCTTGGTTTTAGCAACTAAAATGCTTCCAAAAGTAACCCACGTTTGAAGAGGGCTTTATCGACCATGTTGATGTTTCTCAGTTATTTGAAATTACACCACAATACAGTCGTATTTTGTGTATTTTACAGGTACACACACACAGACACACACACACAAATGACCTCAGTATGTGGATCTGTGTTTCTGAGTGATTTAGTGTTTACTGGGAGAGAATATAGCCTTTTTTTTTTATTTTATTTTATAATTTAGTCCAAACAGCGGTCAGTGGTGTCTGGCGTTGGCGAATCTCTTCAGTTCCTCCAAGTCCACCGTCTGACTCCATTTTGAGCTTGTTCTCTGATAAGCCGAGGCATTTGGTGGTTCTGGCTTGGGATGCCGGCTGCACCACGGGGTGCTGCAAACTCCGCGCTTGGTCAGGCCCTGGCACCCCACATCTAATGGGCAACAGCTTGAATAGTGCCCACTTAGGCAGGCAGTGTGGACTGGGCCCCCTCTTCTTCTTCGCCACTCCAGCCAGCTAGTCGGCCAGCGACCGCCTCTGCCACCTCCCACTTGCCCAGCAGCCACTGTACCTGGCTGCAGCCCCAGAGCCATTCCAGCCTACCTTAGGCCCCTGGCCCATGCAGCTCTTGCCATACTTATCAAGCTGTCCTACAGTGCATCAGTCCAGGCATATACAAACAGGCCCAGCTATTCGCTAACTGAACATCGTCTGTTGCCTCCTAGGCCCAAACAAGAGTTCCTGCCACAGACAGCATCCCAGAGCCCATTCACCAATTAGCTGGAAGGCAGATTATTGTCCAGTGAGAATTCTCCAACTCCAGCCCCACATATTCGGCCTCTGCTCTACCCATCGCTCTTAACGCTTGCTCCAGGGCTTGGCTCTCCACTGACTCTCTCCTTTGCTTTCTGTTTTTTATGCTTTAATTTGACAGTGCTCATCAGCAGCCATTTTGTGAGAGCATTTTGCAAGTAAACATGTTTCAATTGGTTGGGATACAAAATGGCGTAGGGCAGTGGTCACCAACTAAAATTCCAGGAGGTCCAATCACTCACTGTCGTCCAAGCTGAGGTCCTAACAATATATATATATATTTTTTCCCCAGTGCTTTCAACAAAGTTATTTTCTTTGGCTGTGCATACACATTTAAGGCTCTAAAATGAGAAAAAGTCTTGATTAAAAAAAAAAAAATCTCACTCTCTCTCCAAAAATACATTTCTCTTCAGTCCTCTGAGACACATTCTTCCATTTTAGCAGTGCATGGTCTCAAAAAGACAGTTGTAAAGTGCACATTTTCAGTAAATCTGAGTATTAACAGAGAAAATTATTAACATTTTCTGAGTAAATAATATTAAAACAACAGTTTGCAAGTCCAAAATAACTTAGAATGAATATTACAAAGAATATTCTTAATCCAAAGCTTACTGAGTATTTAAATTGTGTATCTGATTTTACTTTCAGCTTTTTGTCATCTTAAAAATATTGCTGTCATTTCTCCGAGTGACACACAAAAGATCTCATCAGAATAAGGCGTATGATTATTCTGATGTGAAACACGTTGCGGTTTGGACAGAAACATCATTGGGTTCAGATCCAGACCAGACTCCGCCACTTGGTGACCACTGGCATAAGAACCACATAACTTATCCTGACTTGCCAGCTTTAACTTGATCCTCGACGAGTCTTTACAGGCCCTTGTCGTGAACTCAGTCATATGAACTCAGGCCCGACTTACTGGACCAAAACCTAAAATCAGCAACACTTCTCAAGGTTTCCCCACTCCCACCCAACAATGCAGGCCCTGAGTCTGTTCTGTTGTGTTGTCTACAACTTTATTAGGTTGTACTGTACTTGTAAAATGTTGGTTCAGTAGATCAGCAAGACCAAACAGATGCCAAATGTGTAGCACTTTGTCTTTTTGCTTTTCCCCCCCCCCCCCCCCACCCCCCCGCCGCTTGCACACAAACACATACACAAATACACACGGCCCCCTGGAACCTCTTGCAGGACCAAATGGCTGGCAGCGCCTGCCCGCCATCTCCCGCTGAGCCCTGGTGTGCGCTTTGGTGGCTCAGGCTGCTGTTCAAGCCCAGCGGGGGTTCATTCACTCACACACTCATACGCATACAGACACACACAGTCTCCTTGTGTCCCCTGCACACCCGCCACCCGCTTTCACACCCCAGACAGCAGGACAGCAGGAGAACACACACACACACACACACGAAGGAACAGACAGACGCGGTCACTTTAGAGATGCAGGCCAAGCGCTGTAGGGGAGAAAAGTTTTCACTTAAACTGGAGAATTCTCTCTTCATTAGCGCCTTTGGACTTCAGGAAGAGTTCTGTTTATTTGTTCGTTTTTTCCTGTCTGTATAGTTTTTCTTTTCTTTTTTCTTTGTCTGTTCCTCAGTTGTTTGGATATGTTTGGACTTAGTTGAGTTGGAAAGTTTGGTTCAAACTGGAGTAAAATGCAGTATCGTTCAAAGAGCCTTAGTTTGCGTCTTACCTGCTCATGTGTTGATACTGAGAGAGATGAAAGTGAAGTGACTTGATTGCTACTAAATATGTCAGTATTCCAGTGGCGCTAAGAGCAGTGTGTACTATGAACTCCGATGGTTATTAACATGTAGACCTTGTGTGAGTTCAGTCCTCTGGAGAAAAGAACAAACAATTGAGTGACTGCTACAGTTCTTGATGATAACAGTGTGTTTTTGACATTAGTGTACCTGGAAACAATTAAATAGATAGAACTTGTACAGGAAATGTACACGATGACAAACGGCACACATCACAGAGGTGACCACTCTTTTTTTAACATTGCAGCAGAGTGCAAGTCTTGTTCATAACGTCATTTTGACTTTATCAAATCAGAGTGTAACGCTTTTATTCTTGATCAGTCTGCAGTGAGCTATGTGTGTATGTGTGTGTTTTGACAGTTGCAATATCATTCAGAGGTTTTCAGACTGAAAGTGGCCTGACACGTTTACCCCTCTGCCTTCATCTTTTCTGTCATTCTACTTTCTTGCTCTTGAAAACTAACATTAATGGGTCTGACCTGAGAGTGTTTTCATTGTGATAACCTGTGAAATTAGAAACCATTTAAAGGCAAACTAAAAGCAGTCCTACCACCAAAACACAAGGCGGGGCCCTGTTGATTGACATGTCTGTTAATCTGCTGACTAACAGCTAATCTAAGTGATGTTAGCACTGTAAGCAGTTAGCAGTCGTCTGAAGCACAGAATAACATTTATTGACTGGATGAAAACTGATTTTACAAGCAATGAAAAACACTACCCTTTAGTAAAGTGTCACTGTTTGTATTTAGTGCATTTTTAAACAAAATATCAGTATTAATAGAAAACATGGATAAAAACATCACTTCATTTCATGGACAATTAGTG